TGGGACAGGAGATCACACACTGTATTATTATTATTGAGAGACAGGCTCACTGTCTGTTCCTCAGGCTGGGACAGGAGGTCACACGCTGTATTATTGTTATAGAGTTCTGTTCACACAGATGCCCCAATAGTTGTTGGGATCGTGTCTCACGCCCAGTGTCTCTCTCTGACCCCCTGCACCTCCCCCTTCTCTCTCTCAGATCTGGAGTCGGGGTCTGACGAGGGGGACCCCACGGACCTCCTGCTCTTCTGTGGACACCCGGAGCCCCTGCCCGCCAGCGCCCCTGCGTTCAGCGAGGTGACCCCGAGAGTCCAGCCTGCGTCGCGGCCGGGGGGGCGCAGGCCGGTGTTTGATGACCCCGCGGTGGTCCGCACGGTGGAGGGGCGCCCCAGTCTGCAGGTCGGGGGGGGGTGGTGGGGGGCGGGGTCACGCGGGGGGTCCCTCGGGGTCTCTGACTCCCCCTTCTCTCTCCAGAGTCTGGACAGCGCCATCGTCGACAGCAGCGTCAGCTCAGCCTGGGGGAGTCTGGACCCCGACTCGGTGAGTGACCCCTGCCCGCCGGCGTCTGGGGGGGCACTGCGCTAGGGCTGGGGGTGTCTGGGGGTTCAGGGTCACTGCTCTCTCTCTGTCTCCCCGTCTCCAGCCAGACACCCCTCTCTGGCTGCTGTCCCCCCAAGAGACTCCCCACTCATCCCAGAGCTCCATCCTGCAGGTGAGCACCCCCTTTTTCTGTGGGTGTGTGGATCACCCCTTTTATCCGTGTCCTTCTCTGTGTGCCCCCTGTCCCAGTCTCTGTGTGTGGTTGTGGGGGTGACCCCTCTGTGTGTGGGGCTGGGGGTGACCCCTCTCCCTGTCTCTGTGTGTGGTTGTGGGGTTACCCCTCTCTCCTTGTTGTTGTTGGGGTGACCCCTCTCTCCTTGTCTCTGTGTGTGGTTGTGGGGGTGACCCCTCTCTCCTTGTCTCTGTGTGTGGTTCTGGGGGTTACCCCTCTGTGTGTGGTTCTGGGGGTAACCCCTCTGCCTGTCTCTCAGGACAAGGCCATCATCAGAGTGATTGACAGGCCCAGCCCTGCCAGGATCCCGCCCACAACACTGGACTTCCTGTCTCCAGCGCCACGGTGCTTTACAGCGGGGTCCCCCTCCGTGAAGAGGGGTCCCCCCAGCCGGGGGTCCCCCCAGTCGTATGGGCCACGCTACCTGTCCCAGGTGAGGTGTGGGGTAGCCCTGGGTCGAGGTGGGGGGGTGTGTGTGTGTGTGTGTGTGTGTTTGGGGTAGCCCTGGGTCGAGGTGGGGGTGTGTGTTTTGGGGAGCCTGGGGTTGAGGCAGGGGAGGGGGGTGTGAGTTTGGGGGAGCCCAGGGTTGGTGTGATACACATCTTGACCACTAGGTGGCAATGTCGATCAACAGTGAGCGCCTGACTGAGAGATACTCTGGGGGTGATGTATGATGCTCTCCTGCCTCAGGCTCTGGGGGTCCCCAGGCTGGGTGTGTGAAGCTCTGGGGGTGCTGTGTGTGATTCTGGGGTTCCCCAGGCTGGGTGGCTGTGTGAAGCTCTGGGGGTGCTG